CATCCATCCATCCATCCATCCATCCATAGACGCGCGGATGGATGGCAACTGCGCGCGCGGTGCATGGTGTCCATCGCCCGCGCGCCGGTATAGCGCGCGCCATGCCCGTCCTCATGATCAGCAGCGGTGGGGTGCTCTTGCTCTTGCATGGCAGCTGATGCAAGACGTGAGTCGCATGCAAAGTCGCAGCAGTCACAGCGTCAGTCTCAAGGACCTGACCTGACCTGACCTGACCTGACCCCACCCTAGACTCGTGACTGGCAATAGCTTCTGCCCATGCATCGCCAGCGAGTTGAGGCGACGAGCATGCCCATTCGCAGCGCTCTTCTTCTCGCAGCAGCAGTCACGAGTGGCTGACTTATAGCAGCCCCTCATCGCTCACTCAACGACTCCAGTAGCGTCGTACGTACACCGTACCTCATGACGACCGCGTGTTGCTTGAGCTAAGCGGGTCGCTTGACTGAAACAGGCGATGCCGCGCATCTGCTCAACTGTAGTGCTGTATACCGCGGTACAACAGTCGTCAGTCATATAGGTAGATAGATACCCGCGCCTCTGCCTGCGCACGCGACGCCGAAACTCCGAATTGCGCCCAACAACGCCCAGGCTAAGAGAAGCGCCTGCCTTTCGCCTTTTGACTCGAGTTCGACTTGTCCGTAGGCAACGACAGGGGAGATGCCGGCCTGTGCAGTAGCTCCCTGCGATGCAGTACATGTATGGTAGTTGAGAGTACAGCGAGTCGCCGGGGCCGCTGTTTGACAACAGCTACTTTAAGAATCATTGACTCGATCGCCACGCAGCAGCCCTGCAGCTTCTGGCAAGAATCACAATTGCGCGGGGGCATGCATGCATGGGCTTTGGCTGTGGCATCACCATTCAAATTCAAATTCTGATCCTGATTGAACCAAATTGATTGGGTACATCCCAGATGAGTATTGTTGTACACCCGTCGCATCGGTGGCTGTGCTAGCGAGTCTGCGTGAGGAAAGACCTCAGAGCAGATTCACGATTGCGAAATGGAAACACACAATCGAGAATCCTCAACGCCGGCCTTCGCGTGATTGCCAAGCTCAAAGCACCGCTTCGATCCTTGCCGAATTCGATGCTCTTCCTGCTGTGCGTCAACAAGCGTCTCGATTGATGCTCAAAAACCTGCCATGAGTTGTGGCACTTTCCGAATCGCGCTACACACACTGTGACGCTCGTGCACGATGCAAACTTCATGTGCTTCGAATCCTGGGTATGGTACATGTGCTTAGCTCGATACAAGGATGGGCAAGGGGACAAAGTGAAACGTGACTTGTGCACGGGAGAAGGACGTGGAAACCACCAGAGAGATTTGCGATACCGTCCATCACATTACCGAACAGCACCCTTTGCCGTCCGCACCATCACCAGGCCTAGATCCCGACACTCGAACATCGTCATGACCGGCAGCAGCGGCAGCCGCGGCCGCAGCAGAGCGTCCTCCCCTCTTCATCAAGCTGCCAGCGCCCGACGCATCTGCTCGATCCCTCGCCTCGATAAATTTGCGATGTATCTCTGTGGCTGCCATCTTGAATGCTTCTTCCACATTCTGACAGAGACCAAAAATTACACCGGTAAATCAGCTGATCCGCTCAAATCCACTCGATCGCCTTGTCCGCTCACCTTTCCCGTCTTGGCTGACGTCTCCACAAAGAGCAATCTGCAGCGTTTTGCCATCCGTCAGCACGCGCGAGCCAACTGCACCTCGTCCATCGTGTCGGCGCTCACCCTTCCCGCTTGGCGAGGTCTTCCCCCTCTTCGGTGGTCACCTGCCGACCCTGCTCCTCCGCTAGGTCCACCATGTTACCGACCAGTATGATCGTCACGCTGTCCTCTGCTAGAGACCGAACGTCTCGCAACCATTCAGCAGCATGCAAGAATGAGTCTCGATGTGTCACGTTGTAGACCACAAGCGCCCCAGCTGCCCCCCGATAGTATGATTGGGTAATCTAAGAGTGGTCGAAGGATCACGATGCCGATGAGCCGTGAGGCAGCAAGGACTAGCAGGATGCTGATGACAAGACCCGACGCGGCATCGAGCGCGTGATCGTCTCCCTGGCGATTTGGCTTCCTTGACTCACACTCCTGAATGCTTCAGAGCCCGCTGTATCCCATACATTCGCCCGCACAAGCTCTCCACCAATCTCAAAGGTGTGCGATCCAAACTCCACTCCGACTGTAGGATCCGTCGCGGCTAACCACCTCTGCTCTGTTAGGCGTATCAGGATGGAAGATTTGCCCACGGAAGAGTCTCCTACGAGGATGAACTAGAGCCAAAGAATTGTCGAGACGATCGTGTCAGCACGCTGGTGCGCTCTCAACGTCAAGCCATGCGCACCTTTGTCAAGTAGTCCCAAGATGTCGACATCTCGGCAGCCTTGGACCGGGAGGCGTTAGGCGAGGTGGCAGATCCGCGGGAGCAGGGATGCGGAACACTTCTGAGCTCCGGGAGCAAGGGTTTGGTATCGCGAGTCGTGAATCCAGTGGAATCTACGTGAATGTTCTACAAGGAGAGTCAGGCGATTGTGGTTGATGATGTCAATTGGATGCGCACGCCTGGACATGCTCATTCGTGATTCAAAAGTCGGGGAAGGCCGTACGCGCTCGTGACCCCATCAGGCCCCCATGCACCTGCCTGCCTGCATGCAGCAGCGGCATGTTCACGATTCGCGTCTGGCGTGCGCGCGCTCAAGATTTCACAACAGCTATATAAAGAATCTGGCCTTTCTGGTCACGTGCACCCACGGATTCAGGGCCGCGGCCTTGCCTCCACCGCGCGACGTACGCAGCAGCTGCCTGCATGCTGCACGCTCCAAGAGTCACGAGTCACGAGTCACGAGTTCGTTTTGCGCCGCTTGGGCGTGGCGGCGGCTGGCGTGGCTGCA